AAGCCTTTGATAAGATCCAACACATTTCATGATAAAAGCTCTAAGAAAACTAGGAATAGAAGGAAAGTACCTCAACATTATAAAAGCTATATATGACAAACCTACAGCCAGCATTATACAGAGAAAAACTGAAACCATTCCCTCTAAAATCAGGAACCAGACAAGGATGCCCACTATCTTCACTCCTATTCAACATAGTACTGGAATTCCTAGCCAGAGCAATTAGGCAACAAGAAGGAATAAAAGGAATACAAATAGGTAAAGAAACTGTCAAAATATCCCTATTTGCAGATGACATGATCCTATACCTTAAAGACCCAAAAACTACTCAAAGCTCTAGACATCAATAGCTACAGCAAGGTAGCAGGATATAAAATCAACATAGAAAAATCATTAGCATTTCTATACACTAACAATGAGCAAACTGGAAAAAGAATGTATGAAAACAATTCCATTTACAATAGCCTCAAAAAAAATCAAATACCTAGGTATAAACCTAACAAAGATGTGAATGACCTCTACTAGGAAAACTATAAACTTCTGAAGAAAGACACTGAGGAAGACTATAGAAAGTGGAGAGATCTCTCATGCTCATGGATTGGTAGAATCAACATAGTAAAAATGTCTATACTCCCAAAAGTAATCTACATGTTAATGCAATTCCCATCAAAATTCCAATGACATTCATTAAAGAGATTGAAAAATCTACTGTGAAATTTATATGGAAACACAAGAGGCCACGAATAGCCAAGGCAATACTCAGTCAAAAGAACAATGCAGGAGGTATCACAATACCTGACTTCAAACTATATTACAAAGCAATAACAATAAAAAGCATGGTACTGGCACAAAAACAGACATGAAGACCAGTGGAACAGAATAGAGGACCCAGATATGAAGCCACACAACTATAACAACTTGTCTTTGACAAAGGCACTAAAAATACGATGGAGAAAAGCAGCCTCTTCAAAAAAGCTGGGAAAACTGGTTAGCAGTCTGCAAAAAACTGAAACTAGATCCATGTATATCACCCTATACCAATATTAACTCAAAATGGATCAAGGATCTTAATATCAGACCCCAAACTCTAAAGTTGGTACAGGAAAGAGTAGGAAATACTCTGGAGTTAGTAGGTATAGGTAAGAACTTTCTCAATGGAACCCCAGCAGCACAGCAACTAAGAGATAGCATAGATAAATGAGACTTCATAAAACTAAAAAGCTTCTGCTCAACAACAGAAATGGTCTCTAAACTGAAAAGAACACACACAGAGTGGGAGAAAATATTTGCCAGATACACATCAGACAAAGGACTGATAACCAGAATATATAGGGAACTTAAAAAACTAAATTTTCCCAAAATTAATGAACCAATAAGGAAATGGGCAAGTGAACTAAACAGAACTTTCTCAAAAGAAGAAATTCAAATGGCCAAAAAACATGAAAAAATGCTCACCATCTCTAGCAATAAAGGAAATGCAAATTAAAACCACACTAAGATTCCACCTCACCCCTGTTAGAATAGCCATCATTAGCAACACCACCAACAACAGGTGTTGGTGAGGATGTGGGGGCGGAAAAGGAACACTCTTACACTGTTGGTGGGAATGTAAACTAGTACAACCACTCTGGAAAAAAATTTGCAGGTAACTTAAAAAGCTAAACATTGATCTACCATATGATCCAGCAATACCACTCTTGGGGATATACCCAAAAGATTGACACAGGTTACTCCAGAAGCACCCGCACACCCATGTTTATTGCAGCACTATTCACAATACCCAAGTTATGGAAATAGCCAAGATGCCCCACTACTGACGAATGGATTAAGAAACTGTGGTATTTATACACAGTGGAATTTTATGCAGCCATGAAGAAGAATGGAATGTTATCATTCGCTGGTAAATGGAAGGAATTGGAGAACATCATTCTGAGTGAGGTTAGCCTGGCCCAAAAGACCAAAAGTCATATATTTTTCCTCATACGCGGACATTAGATCAAGGGCAAACACAACAAGGGGATTGGACTTTGATCACATGATAAAGCGAGAGCACACAAGGGAGGTATGAGGATAGGTAAGATACCTAAAAAACTAGATAGCATTTGTTGCCCTCAACGCAGAGAAACTAAAGCAGATAAAGCAACTGAGGACAATAGGGAAGGGGACCAGGAACTAGAGAAAAGGTTAGATCAAGAAGAATTAACCAAGAAGGTAACACAAATGCACAGGAAATCAATGCGAGTCAACTCCCTGTATAGCTATCCTTATCTCAACTAGCAAAAGCCCTTGTTCCTTCCTATTGTTGCTTATACTCTCTCTGCAACAAAATTAGAGATAAGGGCAAAATAGTTTCTGCCGGGTAGTGAGGGGGTTGGGGGAGCGGGTAGGGGTGGGTGGGGAAAGGGGGAAAAATGACCCAAACATTGTATGCAATATGAATAAAAAAAAAAAAAAACAAAAAACAAAGTCAAATGCAATAGACAGTATAAACTGGTATATGGCATTTTTTGGGAAAAAATTCAATATTAACTACTAAATGTTTGTGAATGGCTCATGCCTATAATCCTAGCTACTGAGGAGGCAGAGATCAGGAAGATCACGGTTTGAAGCTAGCACAGGCAAACAGCTGGCAAGATCCTATTTTTAAAACATCTCATACAAAACAGGGCTGACAGAGTGGCTCATGTGGTATAGCACCTGCCTAAAAATCATCAGGCCCTGAGTTCAAACTGCAGAGGTGCCAAAAAAAAAAAAGAAGAAGAAAAACAAGTTTGATCTTCAGTTCTATATCTCCTACAACATGGTAGCAGTTCTTTTTAATTGTATTTCTCTGAAGTATATTTAGCTATAAGAAAAGATTCAAAATGTTTATAAGACTGTAAAACAAATTTAAGCTCTGCAGTTAGCTTTGTAAAGAAAACTGGTAGTTGGTTGGTTTTATAGTCCAGAGTAATTTGCTTCATTAGTATTAACTGGCCTTTACAATGTCAGTGTTTTAGTATATTATGTGTCTAATTAAAAATACATTTTTAGGTGAGTGGGGTGTTGAATGTCTCAGAAGGCTGAAACAGAAGGAACATTGTTCTTATGAGGCTACTCTGGGCTATACAGTGAGATCATCTTAAAAACAAAGCAAAACAACAACAACACAAAAATCCCAATGCTTAAAATCATACCAAATATAAATTTTAAAAAAGGTTAAGATATAAAAACATCCATTTACCAATTAATTGTTCAATAACTTTAAATAAGAATATGTTTGAAAGAATGAAAGAAACAGAAAATAAAATGCATCAAGATAAAATGAAAAGGAAAGCAATACAAGAAATACAAAAAAAGAAAAGCCTGCCAATCAACATAAAGAAAAAGAAATCAAGGGAGGATACTTTTCACAAGTGAAAGGAGAAAAGACTGTTCTCAGGAAACCCTGTTGCTTACCAAGAGCTCGTAGAAATATTTGGGGTGACAACAGCCAGTATACTACTTAGCATTTACTGCAAGGTATAGAGCATAACAGGGGCGAGGCCCAGAATATTAGGAATAATTAATTATTAAGCCAGAACAGGAAGTGACAAAAGTGACTTAGAGAAAGATTAAAGCAATGTCCTAAAATAAACCCAAAAGGTGAAAGGGAGAAAGGGTAGACAGTTATAGTATATGAAAAGCAGACATTGGAGGCATTCAAACAAGAGTTTTAACTGCCAGAGGAGAAATGTTTAGAAAAACCTTCTGGTAAATCCTACTAAGAATCACTATATTGAGCCAATACATGATCTGATACAAAAATAAGACTGTATTAGCATTGGTTGCAATGTTTAGGTAATGGCATAGGTTCATACATGTGTTATTCAGAGGTTGTAAATAAAGCACGTGGTCAGAAGTTTATATTAGCACTCGTTCTACATGTAAGAGGTAATAAGTGATAAGGCAACACTTAACTGTATTTTAAACATTTCAGAGAACTTTTTTTAAAGCATTTCTAGAAGGTGGATACAATTTGAGTGTGTTTCCTAAAGCTGCAAACTTGGTCCCTTGTGTGGTGTAGAGGCGGTGGAATCTTTAAGAGAAGAGGCAGAGTGAAAGGTGGTTAGGTCATTGGGCCACCACCCTTGAAAGGGATTAATGTAGTACTTTTAGGACTCTGGTTAGTTCCAGCAAGAGTGAGTTATTCTTAAAAAACAAAAATAAATAAATACCTCCTCTGAATCCCTCTCTGGCTTCCTGTCTTGCCATGTGATCTGCACCACTTGCATCCACGCCCACATTCCTACCAGGATGCTGTCACCTACAGTGTGATGTAGCCAGAAGGCCCTGACCAGATCCAGGCAGATGCTGGTGCCATGTTCTTGAATCTCCAGAACTGAAAGCCAAATAAACCTCTTTTCTTTATAAAACACCTACTTTTAGGTATTTTGTTATGTCAACAAAAATGGGCTAATGAAAACATTAAACAATAGGAATTACTTGGCGGGGAGAGTACATGTCAAAATCTCTTTTGGAAGTAGAACAAGGATGTCCATAAATGTTTCTGATCTGAAGGAAACTAAATATCTCTTGGTAGCTCTTCACTTCTGGAAAATTCTTAGAGGTGAGTTAAGTGCAAACAACTAATTGTATCTTCCTAAGGAGCTAACTCATCTAGAAAATTACCTAAATATATATCCTGGTACAAAAGTACTCCTACAGCAGGACTACTCAGATTCTGATAAAAGAAAGACATGGTGATAAATCCTAGACTTGGGATCATCCCAGTTAGCAAACAACTTTGAACCACAGCCCTTTAAAAGGTAATACCCAGTGACCCAGAATTTCATGGAAGGGAAGGAGGCATTATAGCACGAGAGCTGAAAAGGAAGAAGGTAGGAATTTTTTGAATGGGGCCTTAGGAGGAAATAATCACTACTCCTACACAGGACCATTTGGGGGGCTTGACATGCTTTGTGATACTTATTTAAATTACCTTAGGAACCAAAATATACTTTGGTATTAATAGTCCTCACCTTAAGAGTTCTACCTGTAGAAAAGGCAAATTCCTCCTGTGCTGAATCCTACAGGCTGCCTTCTGAGAATCAGAAGAGAACAACCAACTTCGATCATTTGAACATGGAGCATCAACTAACACCTACAGAAAAAAAAAACAAAACAAAAGATGATACAAGTATATACCAGGCAAAAAGTTACAGAGAAGCTACATGACAAGCAGCAAATAAAACATCTGTTTTGGGACCCTAAATAAAACATGGTAAATTGTTCTTTAAGACATTTTCTCACTAACAGTATTCAGAAATTTTTCCTATGTAATTTCAGTATTTGAGTTTTACTTGTATGTCTGTCTGTTTTGGTAAGGGGGGGAGATGGGAGGACTAAAAGTCTACTATTATCTACTAATGACATTTGATACTGTTCATGACCACAGCAAAAACTTAAAAAGGTTTCTTATTTTAAACAGACATTACTACATTTCTGAAACCTCAGCATTTATTTTTAAGAATATTTCACTTTCAGTTTACTGAAATGACCTCTTTTTCTTCACCTCTCACACTGATATGAAATATTAATGCAATAGAGTATAGTGTATATATTGACCCCAAAACTATCTGATATCTTCCTGAGTATCTTTGAGGTACCAGGAAATAAAAAAATTTCTATAATCCCCAAACCAATGTTATTGCTTCCTCTGAACTATGCTGGTCATCAAATGAAAACTGCTTCATGTTTGCGTTACTGAAAATTCCCAGAATCCTGAGGAACTGCCTGGGAGCAGAAGGAAAACAAAAACAACAGGAAAACATAACAGTGGCATTATTGGGAGTCCGTCGCTTTGTCACATTGTAATAAACTTACCTTGTCAAATGTTTCAGGCTGGGCATCTCCCATTCCTCTGCCATCCAATTCAGACACTTTAATTATATTTACTAAAGGTTGTGGGATAAAAGATTCCAGTGTCTGTCTCAGCCATCTCAGTCTCAGACGATCGTATTCATTACAGTGAAGATAACCTAAAGATAAAGGATTAAAAAGTTTCAAATTAAGGCAATGAAATTGTTAAATTCTACTTTTTTACAAATAATCTTCAAAAAAAGCAATGCATCATAGGCAGCAAAAAGGCATAATATTTACCAGTAAACATTATGATTATATTATCTTTAAAATCAGAAATACACACACACACACACACACACACACACACTCAAAACAGTTATAATAGTCATGCCTTCATACCTTCCCACAAGCACTCACATTTAATCAATCAAGTCTAATTTGGAGGTGAAAGCTACAGGGAATTCTGCATTCCTTAAGATTTGCTACACAACCAATACTTCAGACACTGTTCTCACTCTAAAGCACAAGTTGCTAAGAGTAGAAAGTGCTTTGCGTGGCACATCTTCATTTTAAATGAAGGAAGGTAATAATTATGCAGAAAAAAGCAAGTCTATTATATTCCACAGGAAGACATGGGTTCAAATAGGAGCTGGGAAGACTTCAGGGAAGTTGTCAGTTCTTCAAGACTCTTAATTTCTTTATGGGAATTCGGTAAAATGGGGATTATATATAATTGCCTTGTAGAGTGGTTGTTAAGATTAAATGTGATAGGCACTGGGAGAAAGATGGTGGCTGAGTAAGACATGCCAGTGATTGGCTCACTATAGAGGCACTGATTTGAACAGCTAGTCACACATCAAACAACCTTCACAAGGGTAAGGAAGCCAGATAAGAAACTACAGTTCCTGGTTTCAGTATAAGACTAGATACCCATGTCATCACTTCTCCAACTCAAAGCAGTGTGGCATGGAGAGATACCTTCCTCTTGGAAGAGGGAGAAGGAACTAAGTCCAGACCTTAAGCTTTTAAGGTTGGTGAAACCTAACAAAGTTGGTTAAACCTAACACTGAGTGTCTAATACCTTTGGACAGAACCTTTAGATCTGGCCTACTGCCACAGCAATTGGACATCTAATCTGACCAGCTGGTTATAGCAGTCCTGGGTCATAAGTCTACCTCTACAGCAGATAGCCCCTGGGTTGTGTCGGTTTCAGTAGGCTTAGGGCTCTGGGTGTGACTCAGGGTTGCAGTGCTGGTAGTAATGGTACTGCCTATTTCACTCCTCCCACAATCCTGGACAACACAAAGAGTAACTGTCCACTTGGGACCAAAAAAGAGAGGCATGCATTAAGTTACTGCAGAGGACTATGGGCCAGTCCTTCCAAGGTGTGGTCCCATGCCAGGCAGAATCCTGCAGTGGCTGACCATAGGTCAGTGACTGTGATGACGAGGCATCTGGGCCTATCCTGGTTCCAGTCTGTCCCTGCAGGGACAGACTACCCTACTTACGCACTTCCAAAGTTCATTCTGAACAATATACCTACTGAGGATACAGGACAAAACTAGTTTAGGGGACCCTCTGGTGTTGAAACAGCAATAAGCCAACAATGTACTCCCTGCAAACCTGAATTTAGGGTGCCATCAGATGGTAGAAATACCAGAAAGTTCTGCAGACTCAGAGAAAATAAACAGACTGCTTAGAATTTCTACAAGGGCAGGCACAAAGTCAGATTGTAAAGACTGGAATAAATACCCAATTGTTTAGGACATAGACTTTGTCAAAGACATCAAGAACTTTCAGAAAATCATGACTCATCTAATGAATAAAATAAGGCACCAGAAACTGAGTATGTAACAACAGGCAACTGTGAAATACCAGAGGGGGATTAAAACTATTTTAGGGAAACTAAATAAGCTTTAAGAAAACACAAAAGCCAGGTGCCAGAGGCTCATGCCTATAATCCTAGCTACTCAGGAGGAATAGATTGGTAGGATCGTGGTTCTAAGCCAGGCCAGGCAAATAATTCACAAGACCCTATCTCAAAAAAACCCATCATAAAAAAAGGCAGAGGTGTAGGGGTGAGTGGGTTGGTGGAGTGGCTCAAGTGGTAGAGTGCCTATCTAGCTAGCATGAGGCCCTGAGTTTAAATCCTAATGCCACAAAAAAAAATAAAATAAATAAAAAAAAATAAAGAGATGATTTAATGTAACAGAGAAACTTAACAGAGACTGAAGTAATTAAAAAAATGAAACAAATCCTTGGATGTGATTGAACTCATTATTAGCAGAAAACAGAAGAAAAAAATTAGTGAGCTTGAAGGCAGGTTATTTGAAAACATAGAGGAGAAAAAAGAAAAAAGGATAAAGAGGAATGAAGAATGCTGATGGGAACTTTGGGACAGCATTAAAAAAAGCAAAGATGTAAGTTACAAGAGTTCATAAAGGATTTAAGAATGCCAAAGAAGTGAAAACATATTAAAAGAGATCATAGTAGAAACCTACAAAAATCCAGGCACAAGAAGGTCAGTAGTTAACAGTCAGATTCAATCAACCAAATCTACCCTAAGATACTTAAAGTTCTTGAAGATAATGAGAGATACTCAAAACGAAAGAAGCTGGACACTGGTGGCTGATGCCTATTATCCTAGCTGTTTGGGGGCTAAGATTGGAAGGACTGCAGTTCCAGGCCAGCCTAGACAAAACACATTTGAAAGACCCACCCCCATTAATGTGCCCCCAATATCAAAGAAAAAAAAAAGCTGTGTATGGTGGTGCACAGCTGTCATTCCAGTCATCCTGAGAAGTACATAAAATAGGAAGCTCACAGTCCAGGCTACCTGGCAAAAAGTGAGACCAACCCTATCTCCAAAATTACCAAAGCAAAAAGGGATAGAGCAAGTGCAAAGCCCTGACTTCAATCCCTGGTACAAAGAGAAAAAAAGAAAGAGAGAGAGAAAAACAAATAAAACAACAACAGTATTATTGTTCCAATTTTTACATTGAGGGGAACATGAAAAACAATCAGACCTTCAACTCAGCTTATGGCACCAAAGAGTATTGGCAGAACTGGTAATAAGACAGGACTTTTTTTTTTCTAAGTTAGGTGTACTAAAATAAATAGATAAATGAAGCTACTTATGAAGCTATTTGTTTCAGCTCCTTTCAACGGACCAAGGGCTGCCATGTACATATGTTAAAGCCTTGATTATTTTTTCAATAATTTGTTAAATTCATCCTCCTTCTTGTTTAGATGAAATTTGGACATCAAAATTATCTCAATGCAGTTTGTATGTATGTGTGTGTGTGTGTGTACACATTAAACTTTCATCATAACACTTAATATTGCATTTTTCTTTTTGGCAGTGCTATGGTTTAAATTTAGGTCTTTGTGCTTGTTTATCTCTTGGGCCACACTCTCTAGCTCATTTTCCTTTTAGGTGTTTTAAATAGGGTTTTGTATTAATGCTTGGGCCTGAAGGGACCAGACTTCTATTTATACTTCTCATATAGCTGGGATGACAGATGTGCACTACAATGCCCAGATTTTTATAGGTTGAGATGGGGTCTAACTTTTTTGTCCAGGTTGGCCTCTAACCAAGATCCTCATTGCATGGAAATATCACAAGGAAACTTCCTGTGTAGCTACCTTTATCTCAAAACTAGCAAAAATGTCATGTTTTTCTTTTTATCTATTCTCTTTTCTCTTCTGCAAAATCCGAGAACAGGAGGTGGAACAGGTCTTGTCCGGGGGGAGGGTTGGCACCAGTGGGAGGGGAGAGATGATGGATAAAGTGGGTAGGAGAGTGAATACTGTGCAAAAAATGTGTACACATGCATCTAATCATTTTTGCAATGTAAAAATACTTGTTGAAACTGTTCTGTGAATGGGGGTGGGTAAAGGGGAGAGGTGGAAGGGTTAAATTCAAGTATGATATAGCTGATACATTGTAAGGACTTTTGTAAATGCCACAACATACCCCCACCCAGCACAACAATAAAGGAAAAAAAAAGATCCTCTCCATCTCTACCTCCCAAATAGGTTGGATTACAAATGTGAGCCACCACACTCAACTATATACTTTTTAAAAACTTTAAGCAACCTAAGACCATTTCAAATAAAAGCTATATCAAAGCAAAATAACAATGTAATATAAAAAAGCTATACTTCAGCTGAGAGCTATTTTAAAATGCTAAACTGGGAATCTTTACTAAAGCTATTTTTTAGTGATTCTTTACTATAATACCATGTTTTTGATCAGGTCAGCTCTCTCTCTTTTGCACATGCTATGCATAAGGAATTAGATGGCAGGTATAGAGGTAAGGGATATAAGAAGTGATTGAGACTTCTGTTTCCTTTGGTATGACAGACCAGATACCCTAACCAACCCTACTGAAGAAAATGACTGAAAATATATTACATAGCGTTAAAGAAAAACAAAATCTTTTTTTTTTTTTTCTTTTTCTGTTTTTGGTGGTTCTGGGGTTTGAACTCAGGGTCTCGTGCTTGCTAGGCAGGCGCTTTACCACTTGAGCCACTCCACCAGTCCCTCAAAATCTTATTAATATATCAATAATCTCCAAGTGCTGAGATGTCAAAGTCTAAGAGACAATGGGAAACTTGAAGATAAATAGATCACTGATACAAGCTTTTGCCTGGAGAGAATTTTTGCATAACTTGAAAAAGTTTCACGTTGCTTGTCATTGCTTCATGAAAATGTAGGAACAGAAGACAAACACAGAGCTTACTCAATTAGAGATGAACTTGCCTAGAGCTATACTTTAAAGTACTATACCCTTTATACATTATTGTACTATTTACTCAAAGCATTATGAAGTTTAAAGGTAAGGTTTTCTGAGCTAACAGGAAACAATATTATAAATTCACAAAAGTACAAAATGGCAGCAGTAATCTGTTAAAACTTAGATGACATTAGATTAAAACATATTTTACAGTGAAAGCACTTTAAGGTTCTGGTTTACTAAACATTTATTATGGGTTAGGTACAGTGCTAGTCATTGAAGAAGCAAAGATAAGTAATAGTTGGTCCCAACGCTCAACCACGAGTCAGCAGTGGAATATCCTAGGAGACAATGGAAGAAAGTCAATAGCATAATGGGGAAAGCTTGAATTCAGATCCCAGCTCTGCTACTTCCCTTAGGCAATTTCATTAACTTCACTTTGTCTCAGTTTCATCTATAAATGGAGTTAATAATCACCAACTCACAGCATTGCAGAGTTAAGTGAGACAATATAGGTCTAAGATAGTCATACCATGTTCTTTTCTAAAAAAAAAAGTCCTAGGATTTAGAAGATCTTTATATGGAAATATAACGTAAGATGTTGGAAACATGAACTATTAAAACATATTTGAAAAGCATGGCTTTGTGCACCATGATTAACATGATGTACATGTGTTCCAAGGTTGCTTTTTTACTATTAGCACAAAGATGCACCAATGCAGGTAGTTCAAGGAACACTTATCAGAGAAGCTAATTCCTGAGGTACAACCTGATTGATGGAAAGGAGTTAATGGGGAAGAAAAAAGTGGTACCTGTAGAATGTGCAAAAAATTCTACAGATATAAAGAGAAAGGTAATTCAACAAAGAAAGGATTCTTTCTAATTTTCTCCACTACCAAAGGCTAACCAGATGTGAAAATGTCACTGACAGCAAAGAGAATTTCACACCAAGAGAGCCAAAACCCTCAGCAAGAAAGCTCACCATGCCATTCCAAGCTTGGTCAGCCTTAGTTAGTATGTTCATGTTTTCTTTTCAGAATCATAATTGTTTACTCTTTTTCTGTTAAGACCAGGATACTCCAAAAGCTGTGTTTGCAAAAACAATGGTCAGACCATCACTGTGCAAATAGGTGAGAGCAGCTGTATTAACAGAATAGTAGACTAATTTTTTAATCACCTTAAGATATGAGTCTTTTAATCATTCAATGCTATGAGCCTCTTTGCCCAAAATAATGGACAGTACTGCTCTAGAGAAATTTGATGTATAAATTGTACTCTTAGTCCAGCCATCATTTTAAGTTTTGTTTATAAAAGCTTTGATTAGCATTGTTTCTGCATTCCAAATATGAGTACTGTAGCTAATCTAATTTGGGCTTTAAGCATCATCATGAAGGCATCTGTACTTCCCAGTGAACCATTATCATTAGTCCTACTTAGATGAAAAACTACTTTACTTGGAACACTGCCTGTAGTTCATTGCCCTTGATGTAAGAACAGTAAGATTCTTCCCCACTTCAGAATCCTAGAGTATATCAGTTTGCCTTTGGGTTCCTAATCAAATGAACTTCCCCACCACAAATGTGTAAAATATTTATAGTCTACTAATGACAATAATTTAAGATTAAAATGCCCTGTCTTACTAAAACATGACATTTCCCTTCCATCTTTTACAACAGTAAAAATTCTATATCCAGGATTTATGAGCATATGCTTGTAAATTCAATATAAAAATGTCAAAGAACACAGAAAGAGTGGAAGTAAAAATAAATACTCCTATAACATACAATTCCATGAACTTCAGCTCAAATGATAAAAATAATATAACATTACAAAACAGCCTTGCTTGTTTTTATTTCATACACTAAAACACAGCATACTTCAGTAACAGTTTTTACCAGAGCTCTAAAACATATAGTAATTTTCTCTTAACTATATCGTTAACTGATATATTTATACCAAGTCCACGTACAACTGGATTCACATTTCTTATAATTTTTAAAAAATATTTCCACAGAAGAAATAAATTAACATTCTTCAAGTGGGATATGCATGCCCTGGGGATACATAACAGCTTTCTAAGAGTTAAGCAGACTAGGATAGTTGAAAACAATCAATTCTCACATCAACTTCCTAGAACACCTCCAGTGGGGCATCTCCTTTCACATGGCCATTCACCAATTTCAGAAATGAAAGCCAGCTTCCCATCCATATAGAATTGTAAGGTAAATTGTGCCAGGGTTTGGAAACCTCCAGAGTGTCAGAAAAGGGAAGTTTAAAACACCGGTACCTTGGTTGAGAAAGTGAATGAGTCCAACAATTTGGCAGCACTGACTTTTATAACGAAATGGTTTCAAAGTGTTTGCTTTTGACAAAGTGGAAAAATAAATTTAACAAATGCTCACTTAATAGATCATTAAAGTAATGCTGAATGACCTTTTGTGATTTGGCCCTATAATTCCGAATGAGTTTAAAAAGCCAGTAAAACTATTTTAACACCATACCCCGACCATTTCTATCATATTATCTGGGTGAACAACAGCATATATATCAAATAAAAACCATACAGAACTGAAACTAAACACTGTCACATCTAGCAATAAGTACTATTCATTCATGAAAACCTGAATTAGTTAAAAAAAAAGAGTATCACCTATTTCATTAAGAAAATAATTTACAATGAACTTGGACTTGTTACTTTTAATAATATTCTGAACTGAAATTCTCTAAAGAAGCCACATATATACTGAAGCACCTACAAACTGACTTCAGATGACAACATTGTGATTGTGGAGAAATGCAATGTTGCAGATCAAGATCAATGTTGCAAACTAAGAATGTAAGAACAACTGAATCCTATAGAATCCTTACTGTAGCCAAACTACATGCTATTCCTACCAGTGTTGACTGATTTATGACTTTCCTTTGTTCTGTGACTCAAAAAGCTCACATAATCTCTGCCACGATGAAATGTGTTATTCAGCGTAATCTCAATCTGTGTTCCCAAGACAGGGTCACTCACATTTGTCTCACAATAAACTATTTTCTTATTTTCCTTAAAGCAGATTTGCTATTTTATATCAACAATATTTATAAGGGAAGAGCAAAAGAAAAAAAGAATGAGAGTGAATAATATTGAAAGGCACTACATCTGTTTAGGAACAAGACATAAAGAAACACACTGGAAACTGTTGAACAATACAGGGTAGGGGAAAAGGATAAGAAAAAGTAGTTGGGGGGGGCTGAGTGATTAAAGTATAATATATTCACAGGTAAAACACCAAGGGAATGGAAAGACATTTAAACAATGAACAGACACTAAAACAATGAGGACAGAAATGTAATACAAGTCATATTAAGGGGAGAGTAATAGTGAGAAGAGGAGGCTAAATGAAGAGGGTGAAGGAAGATGACTATGGTTGAGGAACTTTCTTTACCTGCATGAATATGGAACATTGAAACCTGCCAATGTCATTTCAAGATGGAGAGTGGGAGATGAGGGAGATTAATGGAAGGTGACGAACCAAACTGGGGTACAATATATGTATACATGGAAATGCCACAGTGAAACTCCCTGTATAACAACACGTAGAGGAAAAGGAAGGAAATTAAGGGGTGAAGAGGATAGACATAGTCTACAAATACCCATATGAAGACAACATAATGAAAACACTGTTTGAAAGAGGGGGAAAGAGAGAGTGGGGGAACAGAAATACAAGGAAGGGGATGAACTTGTTCAAAGCATACTGTATGCATGTGTGGAATTTTCACATTTAAATCCCCTTGTATTATTAATCTATGATAGTTCAACAATAAAATAAGAATTTTTTAAAATTAAAAATAAAATTATATATGTACTTTACTTTTTTTGGGGGGGGACTGGGGTTTAAACTTCATGCTTGCAAAGCAGTTGCTCTACCTCTTGAGCCATTCCTCCAGGCAATTTTGTTCTCGTTATTTTGGAGATGAAGTCTCATGAACTCTTTGCCAGGGCTGGCCTTAAACCACAATCCTCCTGATCTCAGCCTCCCAGGTAGCTAGGATTATAGGTGTGAGTCACCAGCATCCGGCTTCTCTATTGTATTTTGACAGATATAATAAAATGATTTTAAATGTATATGTTTTTGTGTAAGTAAAGTATGACAGTGGTATCAATACCAAAGTCTTCAGTCCAAGTAGTTGGCACACACACATTTAGCACGAGAGAAGCCCTGGGTTCAATCTCCAGCAACAATAACAAAAAGTAATAAAAATTATAAAGCCCTCTGTCATTGGTTTAATAACATTCATATTATTTGACAAGTTTTTATTTGCTTGTTTTGTTTTTGCACTACTGGTGCTCAAAGTCAAGGCCTCTAGCTTGCTAGGCAAGTGTCCTACCACTTGAACCATAACCCCAGTCCCTTTGCTTGCATCATTTTTTCTGATAGGGTAATGGAGAGGTCAATAATGGACCACAATCCTCCTACCTTTAACTGCAGAGTGACTGGGAACAGAGGCTGTACCACCATGGCTGGCTCAAGGGGTGTTATTTACACTAATTTCCTCTGATAAAATCGCTGTTCTTAACCAGGGTGTTTCTGGTTTTCAGGCTTTGAAAGCTAAATCTTACATTTCTCCCCATATGCTTTCAAAGTATTTGAAACATCAGTTATTAAAATGCTATCATGTACTGAAAGAAAACATACTACCTGGACAAGCACATTGCAACAGAGCTATCGATTTGCCTCCAGGAGCAGCACACATGTCCAGAACCTTCTCCCCATCCCTTAATTCTAGAGCCAGTACTGGGAGAAGAGAAGCAGCATTTAGGAGGTAGTATTTTTTCAAGTTCCCAATTTGGTGTCTTTCTGAAGGCAATTGGTCAGTAGTTCTGCTGAGGTAACACTTCATTGACTTAGGATAATAGGATAAAGATCCTTGGAAGAGTGTATGATAGCCCTTCAAATGCAAATCCTTTTCCAGCTCAAAAGGATAATTGAATCGGTTGAGGAGGATAGCATATTGCCATAGGGATGGAGAGATGAGTACATCCCTAGAGAGAGAAAAAAATGAATATTAATATTATATACCAATACAATTTTATATTATTAATATGGTGAATGTGTTCCTAGCGTAACACTTCATTTACCTGAGATTTTTCGGTCAGGATCAATCTCCCCAACGTCACTGTTATAAGCTATCTCAATTTTTTAATTAATCATTTAAAAATGATTTTACTAATTGTGGCTTATTGTTTTATAAGTTTTGATCACTAAGATATTATGATTACTGAATTTTTTGTGACCCCTTAAATTTCACGTCAGAGGGGTATAACTCACTTTCCTTAGTATTAACCCCCTATAGAAAATCTTGCCAAAAAACATGCTGTCATTACATAACTGTGTATTTGCCGAAATGAATTTTTTTCTATCCTATTTGCACAAGGAGTTATTTTGCTTAGAGACAAAATTTAAAACCCAAGACTATTGTTATTAGAGAGAAAAGTACTATTAAAAAAGGTGCTTGAAGGAATGAATATTAAAGTTTTCCTCTGAGGAGGATAAAAGGTATGAAAAGCCAACTACAGTGAACTCTGCAGTAATGGAGTTAATGAGGTGACCAGTGGCTCAGATGATACAGATCCAAGGATGATTTAAAAATCACTTATGGAGTGATGGTGCAGGCCTTCCTCCCTGCAGCTTTATCTTACTAAATTTGTATTCAATCCAGCAATTAGATCTCTTGAAAATCATAAGCTCACATCAACTGACAGATGATGCAGCAGGAAATATTTAATTTATTTACTAGCTGACCTTTCTGGCTGAGTTATTTGGGAGGCTCATTAACCATGGTCAATTAAATAAATTCCAGCTGCTACTCATCCTGGAGTTGCCTGTGTGAGGAATGGCTGGATTGAAATTAACACCTGTGACTCATGCATGACATGTGAATTTAAATTTAGGCCTAATATGTGGACTGCTTTCTCTTTTCACTGTCTTTTACTTACTGTGGATGGTGCATCATTGTTTCCTGGAATATCTGTTTCAGCTACTTTGCAAAATAAGAACTTTCATGTTCATCAAAGTGTTTGAAAAAAAAAAAGACTTCTGGGCCTTACCTGGAATTACTGATTCAGCAGTTCTGAAGCAGTGCCTGAAATCTGCATTTCTAACTTGTTTTCAGGTGACACTGATGCTGCTAATTCCCAGGACCACACTTTGGAAACTATTATTTTAAAATTCCCCAAAAGAGAAATCTGTGAACATCACTGTAAATAAATCTTACACATGTGAATGCTAATCTTACTGTCCAAACTGGATAAAAATTTACCCAGTGTCAAAAGTCATGTAACAGAAAACTGGGCAGAAATTGAATTTATTCAGACTGCACTGGCTTGGCTTATATCCTGTGCCCACCTTATAGCTAACAAAGGGTAGGACACATTCAAATGTTTAATATCAAGAGGGCAAATACTCATTTTTTTGTTGTTCTTCAGAACTTTTAAAGCTATTCTTGGATGCTTATTCTTTCAAATGAATTTTAGGATCAATTGGCCAGTTAAAAATAATTTATAAAATAATGTGTACATAGATAGAGTAACCTTAGATTGTATGAATTATATTAAATCCATTAAACTTGGAGAAAATTAACACACCTTTACCATGTTCATTCTTTCCAATCCTGACCTCAAAGTTTCTTCATTTTTCTCACATTTTCTTTCAGATGTTAGGTAAGGTTATTAATCCTGTACATTTCTTTGAAGCATATTGTTTAAGAGGATCTCTAGTTTAGAATCACAATTGATTGTTGTATATTACCCAGTGTTAATTGGAAGAAATCAGACAGGACAAAGGCAATAGCATATGAATGGGCACTACAGGTATGAGGAAGAACGGTACACTTGGGAAATTAGTTTAACATTGCTCATGGAAGATTATAAGGAACAAGTACCATATGATCAATTTAAAAATTTATTTTTTAAGCAATGTGAAACCATTTGAAAGACAAGGATGAAAGAGCCTGACCAGATGTAAAACATGTACTATGGCAGTAAAGCAGAAATCTTCAAAAATTATCTCATTCATGAATAAGAGAAAATAAAAGTCTTGATTAAAACAAATAAAATTCTGATCCCTCATGACCTACACCCATACATAGTGAACTATTTCAATGGAACTGCCTGAACAAGTGTTGTTTTTTTTGGTTGGTATTTGCTTTTATTTTTGTTTTGAGAGGGTCTCACTAACTAGCCAAGGCTAGCCTCAAATTCTCTGTACTCCTGCCTCAACTTTTGGAGTGCCAGTATTATAAGCATGTGCCACCACAGCCATCCTGTAACAAGATTCCTTAGCCTTTACTAGTATGGGCATAATGTGTCCCCTCTGCCTAGAACGGCCTTTCCTCTATCATCCACCTGTTCCTCCTTCCAGGTGTCGCTATCCTCTACTCCCCCACCCCCCAGGAATCCTTTCCACCTCTCACCCAATCCATCTGTTCCACTGTATCCTAACAATATTATTAATAAAAATTATTGATCAGATATTTGCAATGTGTGTTTTGCATGTTTACCTCATACAGCCATCACAACATTGAAACTTTCAATATTTTGGCAACGTACCCAAAGTCCTGTGGCTGACAGGCAGATGTAGCTAATATAAAAACTGTCTAACTTTAAAACTTAACATGTATGATTCCCAGTGAATCCTGGTACTGCAGCACTAGGAAAACAAAGGGGATATCCAGAGAATTCACCCCAACTCTCACCTAGTACAAGTGGCCCTGACACCCTAAAGTACACCTATTGTCTTTAACAATGGGAATAGCTTGCAACACCCTATCCACAGGACCAGCTGCAGTAGGACAACTCAGTGAAGGGACTGTTAGGGGCTTCCAGGCTGGTGCTTCCTAGCCATGAGAAAGCACAGCTGTGTATTAATAGGGGTCTAACAGAACAAAGCCTGGCTTTTTAAATTACATGCCTGGATTTGTCATGACTGTGAGACATCCAGCAGTTGTTCTAACCTCTGAATTTTAAGGGGGTACCTACTTGCTGCTGACCTCCTAAAACACACACACAAACACACCCCTGTACCTGCACAGAACACTGTTAACCAAAGCTTTGATAGATGGGCAAGCAGAATTATCAACACTCTCAGCAGCCAGATATTATACCACAGGTCTCCTAAGATTCACAATCACAGTCTGAAACCGCTCTATTTACTGGTCTCCAAAGCCAGAAGTTTAAGTACATCAGTTGCTTGTAGATTTGAGACCCACAATGTTAGTGAACTGCAAATAGTTTGCTCAGATATTCATCTACTCCAGTCATTTTGAAAAATTTATGTACCCTCTGACATATTTTAAGTTGACATAAAAATCTTCACCATGGCCTGGCAAAATGGCTCAAGTGGTAGAGTGCCTATCTAGCAAGTGTGAGGTCCTGAGTTCAAACTCCAGTACTGCAGAAAAAAAAATCCTCACCATACGTTTGATGCAATTTCAAGCATTTTGAAAAAAAAGTGACACTTTAAAATACAAATTACACCAACTGTGTCTGTGTTTGTGGTGCTTGGACTATAACCCAGGACTTCACATGTGCTAGACAAGTATTCTACTACTGAGCTGCAGTCCCAATGCCTTACACCACTTTTTTTTTGGCAATACTGGGATTTGAACTCAGGCTCTTGCTTTTGTGGACAGGCACTCTACCATTTTGAGCCACGCTCCAGCCCTCTTTGGCTTTTCAATTATTTTTCAGGTAAAGTCTCGGCATTTTTTTTCCTGGAGCTTGGCCTCAGACCTCCATCCTTCTACCTACTTCTTCTCTCGTAGTTGGGATCACAGGCACAAGCCATCACACATGCTTATTGATTGAAATGGAGTCACAGCTAACTTTTTGCCCAAGCTAGTCTTGAACTGTGATCCTGAGTAACTAGGGTTACAGATGGGCCACATCACCCAGCCTCTACCACTTTTTAAAATGCATCCAGTGGAACCTAAATATTTGTGTAATTTTGATACCCATCGTCAACTTAAAACTTATATACTGACTCTTCTTTAATAGTTGGAAACTTTATGTCCTTCCTTTTCTGGTTTTATTTATATTCTACTTCTCCATATAACTTTATCCTAGTATATTCTTTTCAAATTTTATTTTTGAATTAGCATAATTCCATACATGTCTAGTATACCTTGAACATGCTCACCCCCTTACCCTAATATATTCTTATGCTTTAATCTGTTTTTAATCACCCTATCCTATTTCCCTATCTCTGTCTCTGTCTCTTTCTCTCTCACACACATACACACAAACACACATGTAAGGGGCTGGGGATTTGGCTCAGTGGAAGAGCGCTTGCCTGGCAAGTACAAGGCCCCGAGTTCGGTCTCCAGCACCGAGAAAAAAGAAAAAAGGAAAAAAACAAACACACATGTAATATTAAATTTGTTTACCATGTGGCCTTAAACCTCTTAAGTGGTAAATAGTAATTTCTGGATTCAGTCACCAATAATATTATGAGCACAAGACTGATCAAAATAACATTAAGACTGGGAGCTGGTGGCTCATGCCTATAATCCTAGCTAGGATTATAGCTTCTCAGCTATAGGATTCCTGAGAATCCTAACTTCTCAGGAAGTAGAGATCAGGAGGAACAGGGTTTGAAGCTAGCTGGGGCAAATAGTTCACAAGACCCTATCTCGAAAAAACCCATTACACAAAAGAACGGGTGGAGTGGCTCAAGGTGAAGGCCCACAGTTCAAACCCCACTATCTCAAAAAAGAAATGTATATATTTGACAATTACTAAATGTAAGTAAAAACTGATAGGAAATATATTAATGAATTTTTTCCCCATATATTCATGGTTAAGGTTTAAGATCAATTTTATTCCTATTTTGGGTTTTTTATAAGGGCAGAAAAAAACTTTCATACAAATACATAAAATTAAATTCATTTTGCTATAGCATTGTCTCCATTTTGAATTCTTTCCATGTTATATCCCAAATCGGTGAGCTATCACCAAAAATATTCTAAATGAATATTTAATTGACAACTCAATTAGGGCTTCTTTATTTTGTTGAAAGCAAAACTTGGAAACCATCTCAGTTGTGAAATTTAAACCTAGGGTCTCATACACATTTGAACATTGTTATTCGGTAGTATGATTTTCATCCACCTTTTCTTTGACATTATTTTCTCCTACTCTTCTATTCTGTACTCAACCTTCCTATATAATGAGGACAAAAAAAAATCACTTCATCTATAAATTGCTAAGTACAACTAGTATAACCCTGTAGATTACAAACAATTTAAGTTTTCATGATTAAAAATTAGCAGTTCCTTTTTTAAGTGCTGTAACTATCCACTAGAGGGTGCTCACTCAATCATTTTTAAAGTTTGGCTTAGAAACAAATGCATTCATGGAAATACAGTGTATTTTCAAGACATTTTAGTTTTAATCTGCATAGACTCTAATGATGACCTCATTTATGTGCAAATTTGTTATCTATAGTACCTCAAATAGGAATTCCTGAGTAGGATTTGAGCGTCTGGTAAATAGGAAAAAGGCTAAAAATATCGAAAATACATAAAATAACCTTAAGACTGGATGTGGTGGCTTTACACACCTGTAATTACAGCTACTCTGAATACAGAAATCAGGAGGAGGGTTTAAGGCCAGACCTGGCAAAAAATTAGCAAGACCCCCATCTCAACAAAATAAGCCAGGCTTGTTGGAGAATGGCTGTTGATTCCAGCCAGCAGGAGGCACAGGTTGGAGGACTGCAGTCCAAGGTTAGCCCTGAGCAAAAAATGAAAAAAAAAAAAATCCTGAGACTTTATCCCTAAAGTAAAGAAAGGGCTCAGAGTGTGGCTCAAGTAGCAGAGGCCTGCCTAGCCAGTGTGAGGTTCTGAGTACTGCCAAAACAGAAGTCCCTCAGAACAGAACTATGCATATACTTCCAAGGCTTGGAACCCTAGGCCCTTCACAGCAGCACAAATGATAGAAGAAAAGGCATGAATTTTCAAGTTACAGGCCTGAATTTGCCATAACTCTGTCAACTGTTCTAATCACTGAGTTTAAAAGGAGCTAAAAATGACTACTTTACAGGAATTTACACAGATTAAAGTTGGAAGTGTACATAAAACCAATATATGGGACAAAATAGAAATCTGGATAGTAAGTAGCTAATTTTTGTGTTCCCTAACCATCCCATTTTACCACCCTTCACAAATTCCAAGGACACTATCTAGTTATATAATTTTTTCTCCCTTATGTAAGTAAACTCTGAGTCAGCAAAGCCAGACTTTAATATTTTTAATTGCTTTCAATAAAATGTGTGTAAAATTTCCAAATTTCATAAAGATTTGCAATTAATTCTCCCCTCTTACATACATTTGAGGTCAGGATAAACACATACACACATATGTGTATGGTAACATATTTTATATATATATATATATATATATATTTTTTTTTTTTTAATTTAACTAAGGGCATGACTTACCCAAGTATTAAGGTATTAGTTCTTCCTTGTCAGGGAAGAAATGTGCAAATTAGTATAAATTATGACATTAAAACCTTGAAAGAATTACAATAGTTGTATCAGCAAAATGCAATGGAAGCATAAGGGGCAGAAATAATTTTGACAAGGGCATTAGACAAAGCTTAATAAAGAAATTAAAATAGTAACAAAAATAATGCTAATGTGTATTAAGCTTACTGCATGTCAATTTTTTAAGTACTTTGTGTGTACATATATATAAACTTTGTCATCTCAAATAAACATATGAGATACATTTTTCAGATGGGAACAAAGAGGCAGAGATACTTGGTAACTTATCTGCATGCTACAAGATGCTCAAGTGGGGTTTGAACCTACATAATTAACCACTAAAAGGGAGAAGGAAGAGGGACATGGTAAGCAGAGGGGACAGCAGTAGTTAAGAAGAAAATCCAAATTAAGAATTTCTCTGGTAGAAGCAACACGCTTTTTTGATTTGATAGGGAAGGGTAGTAGTGTGTGGAAGTACACTGGAAGAATGTACTTCCAAGACCACACTCAGTTCTGACCCCACGGACAGTTTAGGCATCCCCAAGACCATTCTCAAGTTTTTGATTATTCATTAGACAGACGCACTGAAAGCTGTTATAGTTATGATTATGGTTTATCATAGAAAAATCATACTGATTATAATCAGTTATGGGAAGAGACCCATGACATGGAGTCCAGAAATGTTCAAAGCATGAAACTTCCAATTGCCCTCAGCAGTGGAAACATGGACAAGGCTCGTTTTTCCATGCAGTAATCTGTGACAATATGCATAGGAGCACTGCCACCCAGGGAGGATCACCAAAGCCTTGGTGTCCAGTTTTTATTGAGGTTTGTTCATGTAGACATAATTGACTGCCCATACAGCTAACTTTTAGTCTCCAGTGTCTCTGGAGGTTGAGTTGGTATCAGTGGTCTGAAACTCACAAATTGTTAAGACTATTAGGTGTGGCCCAAGCCCCCAGTAAACAAGAAGCTCTTATCAGTTACATTTCAAGGGCGTAGAGATTACTTCCCAGGAGCTAAGGAAAAATGCCAGACTTAGTTCTGAGTAAGGTTCATTTTTTTAATCACAAAGGTTGTGAAGATGTGAAAGAAAAAGGAGGTAACCAGATTGACTGACGGTGATGCCTTCAAGGGAGTTAATATATGCAAATAATAAAGGCAATATAGGTTTGAAAAATAATCTGTTTTTGAGTTTGCTGAATTTAACTACTGAGTGTAATTGCTAGAACATACAAGTATGGTGATCAATCTTGGGAAGGACTATACAGCTTGAGATGATAGAGCATACTGATCAAAGTTTAAGTCATGCTATGACTGTACTTATTTGAAAGGGAACACGTACACAAGTAGAGCAAAAGTTGAACTAAGGTAAACTTGAATTTTAAAGGACTTCTCAGATAAGGTTATTACAAAACAGTAAAATAAAAATAAAAAATCTCCCACTACAACAGGAACCTAAAAATACAAAGTTAATTACTTCCTAGTAGTGAAAAAAGAAACAAAAAACCCAAAAACACTCAACTTCCCCTGGAAGTAAACAAATGTACTTAAAACATTGTTTTGCAAATAGTTATAAAACAAAGATGCATAATTCTTCTCTTATTTCTGTATGTTATCTTCCATGTTCAGATTACTTTCTGAGAAAGCCTTTATTTTGTCTATGGCAACTTTAGTACGTTTATGCAAAACTTAAATTACCATGAAATCTGAACAAAAAGGTAGATGAAGTAGAAGACACAGCTAATTAAAGAATTTGAAGTTCACTGCTGTTTGTTTTGGGTCAAATAATTTAGAAGTCTGCCTGAGCATACTAAATAACTCATTACAGGATATGAGTAAACAGGATATTATAAAATCTACAGACAAAAATCACTTCTGAAATTTTTCTTTTAATCATTTAACCACATCTAATTACATCCCCCATGCTCCCCCATAAGAAGAGGTAAAAAACAAGGGTTAGCAGTGAGAGGTCTTGAAAACTTGGTCAAAAGTCCCAGCTCTGCTATTTACTAGCTGAGTGAATTGGAAAAGTAACATGAGATGAAAACTGGGAAACACATCTTAGGTTTTTGTCTGAGGCTCACTTAAGTCAGCACTGTCTGGCACATTAATAAGCAGGTAAGATGTGGTTCTTTGGGTATTTTATATGAGCACCTTTGCACACTGAAGTCTTCATGATTTATTGTACACTTTAATATTCATTCTTCTGACATATTCTTTCTTGTTCATATTACACCATTTATGAGTTTTCTAAATAGCTTAATTTATCCTAAAATTATCTTAGAATCACCTCACTTTATTATTAGCCAAGACAATCTTTGTTCTGAAAAATACTATTCCTTGTAAAGGAGAAATACTTATTGAGTTAATCCATAATAATGTAACATTTTTGCCCTATGGAAAATGTATTGGACTTCTGTTCCTAACTTACCTAGCATGTACTCTTCCCTCAATCTAGAATGTGTTTCCTTTTTGCCAAGTTAATAACTATAACCAAGATCAGGTTTTCCTAGGGCATTTTTGTCAGGTACCCTCACTTTGAAAAGTAAAACAAAGTACTCCTGCCTACTTCTTCATAATACTTACAAAATTAGCAGTTGACATATGATAACCTTATGGCCCCATAACACTAGACTGTAAGCAAACTAGACATGGAAGACTTTCTCTTTGTATCTGGCACTCAGTGTTGCAGGATAACATTCTAACCAACAAAAAATATAATCAAATTTTTCTCACTTTCATGCATTAAATGCCTTTGTTTCCTAATATAAAGAATTTGTGTTTGTATACGCCCATGTGTTCAAATTATGGCTAGCCACAGACATAAATGGGAAGAAATATGATTATTGAGTAAAATACGGCTTTAAGGAGCTTTGGCTTTAAAGATTTATTATTTTTCAAATTTCAGAAATTAGATAGCTCCAAAATTTTTAACTTTTATATTACAGTATAATTAATTTGTCAAACAGGTGAGCATCCCTGTTTCAAGGATAAAAGTAATTGCTCAAGCGCAGGTCATAAATTTTGCTTACTATTTCTATAGAGTGGTCTTTCCCATTATCGTATCATTTAATCTACTTTCTTAGTTCCTCTTTTAGATAGCCAGTAGGAGAGGTCAGTCACGTTTAGATTCCTTTACCTTTTATCCTCACTACATTTCACCCCCAAAAGGTATACTACATGTTTACTTTCACTGTTCTATCATGAAGTCGTACGGGATTAATTATACTAACCTTACTGTACTCCAGGAATCTCCGAGTTCTCTGGAATACTGTTTTTCAAAATGATCCAACACAACTTCGCAAATCTGTTTTGCAAGCTTCCCCTCTGATTTTGCTTTCAGCTAAGACGATAAGAAAAAGATGCCGACACACAGTGATATTACAAATTTATTGAGCTTCAACATTAGCATGTTCTTATTTTTTTATTACATTTTTAAAGACAATTACTAGCTTTTGCAATGGGATCAATATATCACTTGTAACAAAATTTTATTACTGACACTCCACCCACTTATGCAAAGGGAAGGTTTCTCAAGTTAACTGCTGTCCAAATGTGAAGCAAATACTAAAGAATGAATTATGCTAGGGAAATTCTGCCAAAAGAAATAAAATTAAAAACCATCGTAGAGATTAACACGGGGGGGGGGAATGCTACTATCTTTGCAACCTTTCTATAAACCTGATTATTCCAAAACAAAACAAAAAAATTTACAAAAAAAGTCACTCTAGGTTTTTCCTGCGCCTCCTCCCAATTGATTGACTTATTCATCCAAGAAACATGTTTCGAGCAGGTGTTGGAATACTGCGGGCCTGTCACCGAGGAGAGACAACGCTCCAGCGCGAGAGACTGAGCACCCACCATTATTTCAAGGCTGCCAGCAGAAAAGCAGAGGTCTCACCAAAGCTCAAATTCCCCGCCCCCCACGCCCTCGCCTCCGCCGCTGCGTAGACAAGAGTCCGGCTTTCTCAGAGGGGTCCAGTCGGGCCCGAAGCCTCACCCGAGCCGACATCATACTGCTAGCTGCTTCCGAACGCGACTTCTACACCACAAGTGTGGAGTACCAAAAGCTGGAGCAGACGGAAAGAACGGCCACACTTCCGGGATTAGCCGAACCCATTGGCATCCTCAGTCTTCCGGTTTGTATTCTCGCGAGACTTACTTTGCCATGCAAAGGTAGCCAAGAGATTTTAGGTCCCGTGAGAGGCACCCGCGAAGGTGTTCCGTTCGTGGAAGCGGCCATTTCCTAGGCCCCTGAGAGACCTAGTCCGCGCTTAGTCTCCAGGGGGGCGTGGCCGAGCCGTAAAGTGTCTCTGTGTGCGTGGACTCAGTAAATGATGTCTGTCACTATTAGGTTATGTTTCGTCCTCATTTTTATTTTGAGAGGCATAGCTGGTTACTGAATTATTCTGTGAAATGCGATGAAAAAGAAACCGCGGTTTCTCCCCTGATGCCCCGTGTAGACATTTCCTTTTTAGAATAGGAAGCGTTAAAATATAACGTCGGAATGCGCGTGTAAAGCGCTTGGCAGACACCGGTGAGCAGTCACTGCCCAAGTGCTCCCTCTTGTCACTGTCACCGTTGTGGTTATCGGATGACGACCACAAGGCCCGCCGCTTGCCGCGCGCGCTCTTAGGGCTCCGGCAGGCGGGTTTCGCTGCTGACGTCGGCGGTCACCGCGCGTGGGAACCGGGGTCCCTCGCGCCGTCACGTGGGCGCCGCCGTGCGGGGGCAGGCGGTGCTGCGTGACGCGCGGAAAACAAACGTCTCCCCACTAATGTGATTTCAAGTTTAATTTCAGCAAGTTTCCCGTACTCTAGAAGTGCCTCTATCACAGCTTAGATTTGGAACAAAAGAAAGTATGGTATTCAGGATTGCAGTGGTTAAGTGCAGGCCATCTACTGGATATCATTCTTTCCGCTTTATGTTTTCGGACTTTGCCTATTTTTTGTTTATTACAGGATGTCACCACTAATGAATTAATACGTTAGTATTATACTTGCAATGTACATATAAAACATAAAGTAGTAAGACTCATACTGTATTTTTATTAGGGGATTACTGTGTTACACTTAGAAGTCGCTACTTGTTACCATTCGTTAGTGCAAATTTGATTTTGTGATTTGCTCATAAATTGCATTTCTGATGACCTCCTTAAAATTTTTAAGTATGTAGTTATTTGGGGTAAATTACCTGCTTCTGTCCATTTATGTGTAGGTGCCATACTTAACATTAGACATGTTAACTATGTCACAATTCTAACTACGTTCCAATTTTTCTTGAAACTAAGTGTGAAGCCACTTTAAATTTTTATGTATCAATTATTTTATTGATTCCATTGCTCTCAGGCATATAAATTTCTTCCCACAAGGAAGCTAATTCTGTTTCATTCTCCTTTTTATAGTTTGATCTTTTACAGTCAAGACCTTAATCTGCCTAGAATACCAATATTTGTGTATTATGAAACTGTTAATGCATTTATCTCTCACCCTAAACAACTATTGAAAAGTTCCACATGGAATTTTAGGAATACAAACTTAAAAACAGACTTAAGGGATAAGAAATTGAGCAGACATAAATACCAGAAAATTAGTGTTTTAAAAAAAAAATCCATATTATTAGGATTAAACAACCAATCATTATTATTAGTAAGGACCTACCTCTAGGAAAGAAAAAACCCACAAAACTATCTTTTTTAATTTTTTCCCCCAGTACTGGGAATTGAACCCCAAACCTCACACTTGCTAAGCAAGCTTCCTACCATTTGAACCATCCTTTGGTTATCTGATTTTGTTTGAGAAATGGCTTAGTCTGGAACTGGTGATCCTACTATGTCTCCTGAGTAGCTGCAATTATAGACATGCGTCATCATGCTCAGCTGCTCTAGGTATTTTATCATTAAGTCAGTTGATCTAATGAGTTTCCAAATAAGTGCACATTATGAACTATTTCCTACACTAGCTGTTTTTATGAATTTTCATTTATGTTGCCCAAAAGGTAAGGGCACAGGATGTAGTAAAACAATCTGACATCAAAAGAGCCCTTAGCTCCTTAAAATGTATGGCAGGAAAACAAAAACCTGTAGTCAGTGCTACAGGATGGAGCGTACTTGTAGGCAATCTTGAACTTTTGCTGTAAGTGAAGCTCTTACTTTATTAGTTTAGGGCTGCAAGTGGTGTGTACAAACCCAGCAGACATCCAGTTCAACTGAGGACTAAATACAATGACTTATTTTTATTGAATCTTTGAAAGTTTCTTTTTAAGGCTGGTACATTTAAAATGTGTATGGTGCAATAGAACACGTATTACTATTAAGGATGGAATTTGTCTCTCCCCTCTCCCAGTTAACATGTTGAAACTTTAATCCCCAGTATGTCTGAACCGACTAAAGTGAGGTCTTAGAAAAAGCAAACCTGCTGGCTCCTTCATTTTGGCCTGTGGCCTCCAGAACTGTGACAAAATAAATTTATGTTGTTTATGACACCAAGTCTGTGGTGCTTAGTTATGGCAGTCTTAGCCAACTAATAATAACATATATACAGGAATATCAAATTATCTACAGATAGGACATATAAAAGTTTAGAGACCACAGATTGACATGCCTGGATCATAAATGATGTTTAATCATCAGTGCCAAAAAGGAATTTACCACTCAGGTCTTAGAGAAGCAAATGATTTTTTCCCCCTAGTTCCTCTTTAATTATAAACTGGGTCCCCTTTATTAAAGGATTTTTTTTCTGTAAAAAAATAGCCTTCTGCTATTGTTTCTATAAAAATAAAGGGATACATCTGTTTTGATAGCCTTATATACTTTAATGTAAGTTTTGAGATAATTTGTTCTTTGAACTAGATGGATATATTTCTTTAGATAATCAATATTAACAGAATCTCAATTTCAAAGTATACACTCTACTTAGAGATAAATTTAGACATTAAGAGCCAAGGACGATAAAATTTATAAGCTACAGCTTTACTGATATTAGCAGTTTCAACTTTTGAAAAGCTTTTACCTGGAAACATGAATTTTATTAGATGGAATGGGAGAAATTGAGTATCATTTTTGGAACAGTACTGGAATTTGAACTCAAGGCCTTGCCTTGCACTTAAAAGTCTACTCTTTGAGACACATGTTCAGTTCTTTTTTGCTTTAGTTCTATTTTGGATAGGGTGTTATGTTTGTGCCGTGGGGCAGCCTTGGCTAAGAATACCTAATTATGCTCCTGGAGTAGGTGGGATTACATTGCATACCTCCACACCTGGCTTACTGGTTGAGATGGGGGTCTCACTAACTTTTGCTGGTGTTGGCCTCAAACCATGATCCCCCAATCTCTGCCTCCTTAGTAGATGGAATTACAGACATTTATCACTAGGCCCACTTAAAAAATTATACAAAATTATAAATTTGCTTCCCCCATTATAAATAATAAACCAAATTACAAAGTCAGCTAAATAACCTGAGGAAAACATACAACCAAAAACTCTTAAGAAATTCACGATTAGCACTTTGCAACATTTCTTTGTAATGTGACTTCTAGACAGTTTGATAAGTGACATCTGTGTCTTAGTGACAGGGCACTTGCCCACCATTCATGAGGCCTTGGGTTCAAGTCTCAGCATGACAGAGAAAAAAAAAAAACCTCACATTCTTTCTCATATACATAAAAACTTACAAGAAAAAATCTCTCAAGTAAAATTAAAAAAAAAAGAAAAATGCAGTATTTAAAAATAATTGTTATTTAAAGAAAATCATTTAAAACAACCAAAAGAAAAAGGAAACAGCACACTGGTATAAATTGTTTTTATTGTGTGAAAATGTCATAATTCATAACAATTAAGAATAAAAATGTAGCATATAACAAAATAGGCATTTAATTGTTAAAACCTACCTGGATTTACAAAACATCTTTTAAAGTATTTTTAGAATGCTTTAAGGAAACATTGATTTTTGAGAGATCTATATAAAACATTGATTCCATTTTATATATTTAATATCAAAACTATTTTTATGAAGTGAAGTCAGTAATTACTGTACTCTGCAGAAAGCACTGGTAGAAAACAAGAATTTTAAAAATGTCTTTACTCTTAACCCAGATGAATGTTAAAAAGATAGCAAAAGTATGAATTTAGTTTTAAAAATGAATATGATGTTATAAAAGGAACAAAAAAGATGAGGAATTTTTCTCCTAAAATCTAGTTCAGAATTTACATCCTACCCTCCTACAATGCTTTTCCTCACTTCACTTTTTTGCTACCTATGAAATTTAGTTTGTTAGGAATTTTATATATGAAATAGAATGCTGTTTATTCAGTGTACAAGGAGGACCTATGTATAAACTCCAAAAAAACCTGTACTATGCTGACTACAGTAATAAATGACCTGATTAATAAAAGTCCAGTGAGTTAAAAATGTGAATAAAATGTGATGTCCTAAGTAAAACCTGTAAAGAATCATACTAAGCTGCCTTAGATAGACTTATCAGAAACCAGTGCATGTCTATTGTCAGTATAGATACCAAATGTACTTATCTTAGTAAGCTGATAAGGAAATTGTTGTGTTCCTATTTTTTTCACCTTGATGTGAAGTCAAATTTTCAATCATATGTAACATTATGAATCCATTATTCAAAATACATATCTAAAAGTTTGTCTAAAGAACAGATGAATAGACAGTCCTATGGATAACATTCTCAAGTATAAGAGAATTGCTATCACTTTAAATTGAGAAATTATTTCTTCTTTATAAAAGTATTTGAGACATTTTTTTCTTATTGACGTGCCCAAGCTGTTTGTTGTAAAATATAAAGCTCTGAACCTACAGTAGGTTTTTTTATCTTCTTGCCTTTAATCTCAAGCCATAAAAGAACTAGAAAAACCTGAGTCACTGCAGTTTCTGACAGGACAAAGGAATGGCAGGGAGCACCTTGACTTCCCAAAGTGTCTGGTCTTGAAAACAAGGGTGTATTGGAACTTCCAGTAATATCTCACAGACAGAACATATTTTTTACTAATTTAAAAAATAGGTAAAAGGGGCATTTCAAGACTCATTCACTGAGATCATCACCAAAGAAGACAAACCACACAAATAACCACAAAATTGAACTATCTTCTTGGATACTATCTTCAAATTGCATAATTTGCTAAGAGAGAATTGTTTTTTAAAAGGTATTATTTTAAAATTAGGTAAAAATAGTAGGTACATTTCAAGAATAATGCTATCACAAAACATATCTCGAGCCATATAAATATATCCTGTTTGTATAGTTCATTTCTGTCAAGTAAATCAACTATATTCCAGACACAGTTTAAACAAAGCATCTATAAAAAATGTACAATGAATAAAATAGTAATTAACATAAATGTTATAGAAAAATATAAAAATAGTTAAAAGTTTAGGTTATAAATTCCCAGGAATTCCCCTTTCATGCACAAGTATCTTACAAAAGCTGTTTAATATATAGAAATACAGATCATTACATGGCAAAGAAAGTATGCAAAGTCTGTTGGCTCTATTTCTGAAGAGGTTTTCCTTCAGAAATATGCCCATGAAGTGGGGATGTGTAAACCAGAGAGTCAACATTAAATCTTGCTAGCTTGGTTTAAATGCTCATCCCATCTACTGGTCATTTTGGCTCCTTTCTGATTTAACCATGAAAGACACAGAGAAACAAATTATCAGGTCAGGTTCTTGGCTATTATATCCTTGTTGGAATCATTATGGTTATCTTGGCCAAGTCATCAATGCTTAGGGTTTTTCTTCTGTTGAGAAAAGAGGTTACAGTTCGCCCTGCTGTTGTTAAGAGAGCTAATCCATATGACTTGGCTATGAGATCACATCATGAGCATCACTGTTAGGTCTCTGTCGCACAACCAGGGGAGGCAGCGGCTTCCCAAAGAAATCTGCACAAACAAGGGGAACCAAAAACAGAACAGTTATGGTCATCAAAAGTTTTGACATAGCTATTTTCCAACCAGCATCTTTAAAATAGTAAGACATATGGATTGTCAAGTGAAGCAATGGGTGGAAAAGATAGGAAAACAAAAAAATCCCCCAAGAATTCAAGAAAATGTAAATAAACTCAAAACATGACAACTAAGGTAAAGTCTACTCAGTGTAGTAAAAAGCTGTACCAAATGGCTCTATTATTATTTTGTTTGTATTTACACATACATTAAAACAAAACAAGTATAAAAATAATCAAAATCTGTAGAACCTGCTGCTAAGATCTTGATAAGTCTTATCAGTAGGTGTTACCCTGAACTCTTGTAATAGTGCTTCTATACAGTTAGTGATTTGGGGAGTATTTTATACAAAATAGGCTTGCCCTTCATTATAAATTTCATTAATTATCATAATTGCCTTATAAACTTTATGTAAGTTATCAGTAAATACTTTCTAGTTAATTACCATAAAATTATTCTAGAAGCATAAGTGTTCATAAGCAACTAGTAAGCTGCAATAATGCCCAAATAAATCCTAATGCAATGGTATAATGAGTTAAGGCATAGGTTTCAAAGCTGGACAAACCTAAGTTCAAATCTTGATTCTACCAGTTATTAGCAATGTTGACTTTGAAGTTTAGGTTACTCGTGCACAAAAGGGGGATATTGTTGCCCACATTATAAGATTATTTGGAAGAATTAAAACTGCTAAGCACAATGGTAGGTACATTTTACATGCAGTTATTATAATTAAGTTATGCAGTTATTATTAGAATTAAAATGATATTGGAGTACTCAATTACTTTGAGGAATTTAAAAATATTTTGGAAAGAGATAAACGCATATGTAAGAAATGTCTTTCCTTCCCCCAGAATTTATTTCTGTAGTTGATTCTATACTGTCTCTTTGTCAAAAAAATTGAATTATTCTATGCAAAAGACATTCCTTATTCTCTTAATCATTAGACGATATAAGTTGCTCTTAGTGCCCAAATGAAAGTAACAACTTACTTGCCAATACATATTTTAATAAAGAACTTCAAACTTTTTAACATGAAAAATAAAGAGCAATAAAACTATATACAAAATTTTTATCTTCCTACATAATGTTAAGATTTGAAGGTATTCTTTAGTTTGCATATTTGGTATTTTTGACTATCAGAATCTTTTATTCATTTCTCAAACTATGTAATACACAATATATAATATTGATAAAGTACAGATTGTTCACAAAGTGAACAAGTCTCTTCTCTGAATGCATCTGTCTTACCTGTTACACTGAGCAATCTTTGTAGGCAATAAAAACTATTAGAAAAGTAGTCAAACTGTTACCAAGGTAAATGTCTACAATCAAAATATAAGTAAGAATCTGTCTTTTGTAAAGATTTTTTTTCATTTTTTTAATTATTATTTTACTGGGGGTACATTGTGACATTTACAAAATTTCTTATAATTTATCACAGTTGAATTCACTCTCTCCATCATTCTCCTTTATCCCCCATTCCCCATTCATGAAATAGTTTCAACAGGTCTCATTTTTCCATTTACATACATGTATACAGACTATTTCTACCATATTCACCCTCTGACCCCCATTCCTTATATCCTCCCCCCTCCCACAGGTGGCTACCCGCAGACAGGACTTGTTTTGCCTTCCTGTTCTGTTTTTTGTTTAAAAACAAAAAAAGGCATTTTTGTTTGTTTAAGATAGCTGTACAGGGTGTTTCACTGTGACATTTCCATATATACATACATACATATATATATATATATGTATGTATGTATGTATTATAACCCAAAGTGGCTCATCCCCTCTATTTTTCTCTTTTCTACTTTAGTCCCCTTCTTATGGTGATTTCAACAAGTTTAAAAACTCTAAAGCCATTCTTGTATAGGAAGTACATCAACCATATTCACCTTCTTAACTTCCTTCTTTTATGCTCCCTCTCTTGTATATCACCCCCCCTTAGTATGACCTGTTTTTCATAATATTTGTATTGGGTCTATATCCCAATCTGATGACAGCAAAATTTTGTTTGACTTAGTAAATTTTAACTGCCAAGCCAACCACAATCTATTTTTAATTATTTGCTGTAGTTTACCAAGTATCTGTTGTCTACTTGCCATCAAACATTTGTTAATATGCTAATAGATACAAAGGCAAAGAAATGTGTCCAAAGTTAAAAAAAAGATGATGTAATTATGCAGTTGGACCTAGCAGAATCTCAGATCAACATCCCATAAGCCCAAAGAATTATTTAATATAAATTCTTCATATTAAAATGTAAAATTTATTGTACTCATTTACTTCCCCCAATTAATAACAGAAGAGTTTTTTTTTAAATCCAGGCTAGTACTTAAAATTTTTGGAAAAAATAAAGGTATTTTAAAATGTAAAGGTATAGTGTTTTCTCCGCTCCAGGAAGCTAAAATTTGATAAAACTAAAACTAACTAAAATACTAGAACATAGTGGCTTAAGCTTACCTAAGATAATTATTTTCAAGGAGTTCTAATTTAAAAACAAACACAGGAAAGTGTGGAGGGGTGCAGAGTGGGAAGCCTTCTCAGCCCATTTTCAGCTTTTTTTCCCCAGTTATCCGTCATTGTAATGTTCCCATTGATTTTTTTGCATCTCATTGGACATTCTTTCCCTCACAAATATCAAACTTATCATTCCACACCTGTATTCATGCATAAACAATTACAGAGCATTTGTTTGGTGCAAAGTACTCTACAGGGAAGAAAAATCTACCCTACCTATCCTCTCCCACTCACCTCTCTGGGTCCCTTCTTTTCTTCTAAATGCCACAGTGTTAACTGTACCGGTTTTCAGACATTTCCAAAATGATAAACCCATACACACTTCTGTATGTCTCTCCAAAACAGATTTCCTTCCTACTTATATAGCTGCTTTCTTTCTTTCTTTTCTTTTTTTTTTTTCTTGGCAGTACTGGGAATTGAACTCAAGGCCTTCTGCTTGCTAGGCAGGTGCTTTACCACTACAGCCACTCTGCAAACCCTATCTATATATTTTCAATCTTAAGAGACAGCACCAACCTTCTAGCCCCTTGAGCTCTCTATACTCTTAATTTTCTCTTGCTCTCAACCCACACCTCCATTCACCTAATATTACTTATTAAAATTGCTAAAATATTCTTTACATACATTTTTTTATTCATCCCAATTTCCAATCCTTATTTTTTACTTTGAATACAACAGCTTCCTAACTGGGAAGTCAGTCATTAAGTCAGTAAGCCTTTTCTCATTGTGAGAAAAATTATATTCCCAAGCATCAAATCTAGTAACACTATTTCTTTGATTAAAATGAATATTATCTCTTTGAAAATTATAGCAAGTCCAAACCACTTGTCCCCCTCCATTTTCAAAATTTTCTATAATTTAAAATTTTCACTTTCTTCCAAATTCTACATATGACCTACACTCTACAGTCACATGTAACTTTATTCTATTTTCCAGATAAACAGTGTTCCTTCCCACCTCTCTACTGGCTTTTGTTTTTTATGGCTTTTTTTTTGGGGGGGGGGGCTTTGTTATTGTTTTTAACATTGGATCTCATTATGTATACCAGGCTGGTCTGGAAATTGAGATTCTCCTGCCTCTGCCTCCTAATGGCTGGGATTCCAGGCATGCACACCTTTGAATAATCTGTTTCTTTTGTTTACTGACCTTTCATTCTTTGAAGACTTAGTTCTAATGTCACATTTCCTAAGTGCCCTTGCAACTATATATGCATAGTACTCCAATTTCTGCACCGTAGAATTGTCATATACACTATTGTAACCTAAAGCATCGTCTTGTCTATTAGATAAGGAACTCCACAAAGGTAGAATGTCTTATTCATCTTGGTATTGGAAGTTTTTAGCTTGTGTTAAATACAGAGTAGGTACTTATTTAATGATGGGATTCAGTATGAGAAAAATATTTGTCCTATGAGAAATTGTTTTCTATGTAAATATGCAGGTACATGCAGATATATACACACTAATGCTCAAATTTTCTAATGTGAATATTTAAATTGATAATATATTCTAAGGGATATGAATTCAAAGTTATATGATAAAAAATTAATAGTGAATTAAAACATAATGTAAATCAGTAAATAAGATACGTGATTCTTCTGGAAATAATACGTCAGTAGTTCTCATATAGTTTGTTCTTAGAGAAAAAACTTTCCTATTTTTTGAAATGTAAAAATAAATCTAATTTTCACAAATGATTATAAAGAAATATTTCTTTATCAACGTATAGTATTCTGAAAAAGAAAGCAAATAGCACACTTACATATTTTTTGAAAAAATATTTCATAAAATTTGGTATAGTGTTAAATTAGATGGTAATGCTTTTCTAAAGACTAAACTTCCTTTTTCTTTTTTCCTTGTTCTTTATTATTATTTATTATTATTATTTCCTTGTTCTTTTTTATTGTTTATTATTTTGGTGGGCTTGAACTCAGGACTTCATATTTGCTAGACAGGTGATGTACCTAAACTCCCAAACTTTCTTTTTCTAATAAGTGATCTCCTTAGGAAACAAAGTTCTAAAGTAATTAATACAGGGCCATCAAAAAAGGAATTGGATGCTCTCAATGAACAAGTTTACTGAGCCACAATTATACATAATTATTCTTCTGCATTTTAGAAGTAATGAAAAAAATCTACTTTGATGGTTAGTAATCACAGTTCTGCCTGTTGTTGTTGACGACTCTTAACTGTCCTTTCCCTAGCTTTTGCTTCCTGGAATTCTAATATATAGATATGTTAATAATTCTCTCCTCTTTCTCTTCCTATATAGACACACATATGTATGTATATGTATTATATGTATATAATTACTATATTTATGTGTTATGTGTATTATGTATATACTACATATATGTGTATATATATATATATAGATAGATAGAGATATAGATAGATAGATAGTTATGTTAATTTCATTTGAAGAAAACTGTTCTCTTGATTCGATAAAGCCTTTAGGAACTTTCTGTTTAGCTCAACTTCTTTTTGTTTACTGATCTGACATATAATTATACAGATAATGTTGGATTTTACTTCAGTTTAATATTCAGCAGCTAGGGTGTCTTATTAGAGGCATACAGAAAAATTATATGTCATTATCAAAGAGTATACTGAACACATACAGGACATGACAGCTTTCTAATACTAAGTATATTTGTGCTATCTCATATTTAAACTGTTTTCATATATTTTCCTTTTCATAATTATTTTCATATGGATATCATGGATAAACATGAGTGTGATTCTTTTTATCTCTGTATTCAAAAGTAAATAAAAATCAAATTATATAGATGCAAAGTGCATTTAAAAATAAATTTAAAAATTTTTAAAAGTACAATGAAAAAAGATGGCAGTGGATTGGAAAGGCTTCCAAAAATAAAATAGTAAGCTTGTTGAAGTTATGAGGAAAGGAAAAGTGGATGCAATATACACAGATGACACTTGAAAACCGATCCTTTGCATTACCATCATGACGTGTTTCACCAAGAGGCTCAAGTTTTGGAAGTCTAGTGACTTTGGGGGTTCCCCAGCCAACTAAAGAAAAAGAAAAACATTTAGAAGCACTGTTAAACAAATGTCTCTTTTAAATCTGTTGAGAGGCTCCCTCCTTGACAGGAAGTATATATAACATTCAACATAAGTTCAAATGTACTGAAGAACACATTTTAAATGGCTTCTCCTTAAAAATGTAACTATAGGCTGCTAACATTTGCCTTAACTTAACTTCTTATCCACTTTTAATTAAAAATATATATATGCTCCTTTCACCATAATCTTAAATAAGTTTTTGGCTAACACTCTAACCCATAGAAAAGGCTAAAAGAAATGTTTTCTTATTAAATAGTATACTAGAAATGAGTCTTTAAAAAGGAAAACATTTCCATGTAAAGTCTTGTAGCTGGACTACAAGGACAATGCAAACATTTATTTAGTTATGAGCTATTTATTAAGCACCATCACAGATCAGATACTACACATCGTGCTGAAAGTTAGTCTCAATTATTGTGCAGTTATGTCACAGTGCTTTACACATCACTCCATTTAATCCTGTGACAGCTGAGGAAGTCCGCAGATATCTTGGATTTATGCTGGAAAATTCATTTATTTAGGTAACTTTCAGGATGAAAGGTCCAATGTTTTAAAAGCTCACATTAACCATCTATACATTAAATTTAAATTCCAACAATATAGATATTGATATTTCACATAGAACTTGATCACATTCTAGGAACTGTCAGTAAGATTTTCTTAATAGTTTTTTTTTACTTTCCATAAAAACCAACATTATGTTGACAAATTTTGCACAAAGTAGACAGTAAAGAATTCTTTCTCAGAAATTCACAAATTAATGAAAATACTAAATAAAAAACACACAATTTCCTTTTTTCTATACTATTTAAAGCAGTATTTCTACATTCAGTATCAGTGTCAATTTACTCACCAGGAGGGGGTGGGGGTGGTGTTGGACTCTTAGGAGCAGAGTCATCTGCATTAACTGGTTCTACGCGATGACTTCTTTTCATTCTTAGTTTTTTAGTTTTCTTTTTACTGGTATCTATAAGATATAAACATGGAGCTTTACTCTAATGGGAAAAATGAACTTCTATAATAGAAAACAAAGAACAAAATAAGAATATGGATATTATTACCATAGAAACCTCTTCTGCTTAACTTTGGAAATTATTAACAATAGCTAAATGTGAACTTGTATTTACTAAGAATAATTAAATGATGGCTTATTGAATAAATATATGATTTGTCAATATGATACAGTTAAAAGTTCTAAGAAGTTTTATTTCTCAAGGCAACAAATAGTTCTTCAAAATGTCACATAAACCAAACATGATTATCTAATTATAAGGCCTTTTCATAGACTCAGAGCGACTTAACAAAAGAAGAGGGTGCTGACTTTTCTCAGTGGGATATGTAGAATGATTTTAGGTATAAATAGTCCAAAACTAACCTTTTGATGTGAACAAAAAAGACTCAAATCAAGTTGAAACATACTACTCACTAAAATAATCCCAACAAAAGATACACCCAATATAAACATATACAACCAAAAAAATCACATTACAAGACCGAGCAGAATTTAATGTGCTAATTATAAAAAGAAAAAAAAATCAAAACTATAGATTCTCACTTATATGTATAATAAGGATACGTATGTTAATGTGTAAACTCCTAAATTTATAACATATAAATACGTATGTAATACATTAAAATAATACAATTTCTAAAATGAGAAGTATCTGTACCAGAAGAAATAGATAACATCTGTGAAAATCTACAAAGAGTAAGAAACACAAACATACTTAGGAGCAAATTATTTTTCTAAATTAGTGTCATTTGAGGAATTTAACTGCAGAGAGAAACTATGTAATCCCTTTGCAATTAAAGCTGTAGGCTTTACAGTTGGAAGAATGGAAGGAGCAAGGAGTATTTTGAAACCTATGGTCCTTTTTAAAAATTTTTTTTTATTTTTGAAAAATACAGACTTATACTTTATTTTCTTTATTATTGTTGTACAAGAGATACATTGTAGTATTTATATAAGTTCTTACAATATGTCATAGTTGGGTTCACCCCCTCTATTATTCTTTACCCCCTCCCCCCAATTCCTGGAATATAAAAACCATACCAACCCTTTATGATGGGCAGTAAAGTCAGTATGATGGAATAGCATACAATGTGGAACACAGGATTTGGACTGGAGTCTCAGCCAAGGACATAAGATCTTTAGTTCTCAATCTCTCCAAGTCCCTGGTTTCCCATTTATACAATGCTAATAATATACTCCATGACTGCTCTGTTATATAACACAATATTGTGTTAAATAAACGTAATGAACCCGGAGGCATGCTTTAAAGTACAAAATATGTTATTATTATGGCTATATGATTTACTATTTACTATCTTGGATCTCCTGATGCTATATTTTAAAGTCATTTGCCAAGACCACTTTACTTTTTAACAATGTATAATATGACATTCCTTTTAAAAAACTAAGAGACTATTGTACTAAGTCTGCCTCCTTTTTAGCTCTGCTGATAGTGACACATGTATGAATATGGCTGCACTCAGTTCCTAACTGACAAAGAGTACATATTCAGATCTAACATTTTTTCACCTAGCAAAATATCCACATTAACTAATCTGCTAATCCTCAAGGATTGAAAATTAAAAAAAGAAAAAAAAAAAGAACCTATGATACTTTTTAAAGAAAACTGCTGCATACAGTAGTCATCTCACATTTGGCAGTCATTTTGATAGGAACATTATAGTTATAAGTCTAAAAGTCCTGTGAATGAAGATGATGTTTATCTCTATTTTAGAGATAAAGAAAACAAAGAATATATACCTCATATAAAGAATATGCAATTTATGTTATATAACCTAATAGATCTAGAAAATGGGAAAGTTAGGATTTGACCCCAGATTGTCTAATTCCAAATGTAGGCTCTCACTGGTGGACAAGGACAATGTCCTAAGTTCAACACCCAATATCCCTGAAAACAAAACAAAATAAAAACAAATACATGTCTCTACGACATCAACAGACGTGAACTTAAAAGAAAACAATATGGGTTGAAGATTTTGCAATATATTAAAATAAAGGAAAGGTGACTTTTACTTTGCTCTTTTCTTTTTTTAAGAGAGGCCTTGCATATGATACACCTTTAACCCCTGAATTGACTTTAAAGGAAATGATTCTGATTGTTAAATTATAAGAATTAAAAAAAAAAAACAGGTGTACAACAACAGCAACAAAATCCTTCAAGATGTTAATAAATTCTAAGGGTTCCTGGGGCATTATGCTGTCCTCCAAATATTTGCAAATTGAATTTTCCTCTGAAATTCTTTTAAGTTACAAAGGATGACATTTAAGTCATCACAAAAAAAACATTAGGAGAAAAATGGCTAATGAGTAACTAAAGACCTTGAGAAAATCATGGTGAGTATTGCCTTTGGAGATAAAAAATTACAGTTTTTAAAAAAATATAAATGCAATGAAATATGGTTTATTTATGTCCATGAAAATTACTTAAAATAATGAGATTTATGACCTGATTCCAATGATCGCTGATCTGTCTCATCTTCATTCTCCAACTGCTGTGTTATTGCCTCCTTGTAATTTTCTACTGTTTCCAATTCATTGGTTTTGTGACTGCTGTCACTAGTATGGCTTTGTGTCTCTATTTGCTCATGTTCCATTGTATGTTTCAGGGGGCAGTCATCACTGTCTTTCTCCATCATCTGCTTCTTTTTCTCTTTTTCAAGCTTTTTTTCATTCTAACAAAAATGAAATATATCATCTTAATTATAAAGATTATACCTAAGATCATTTTAAGGAAAATGTCAATCTAAGAATATTCTGTAACTTCAATGGCATTGTGATAGTTTCATTAAAATGATTTGTTGAGTATATCAGTAAGACATGTTAACCCAGAAGGTATAAAAGAAATTATCACTAATTTGACAATCTAGAGATGATCACTATTTAGTATATAATCACTAAGAGGCACTTTTGTTGGCCTGTTCACACGCACGTACACACACCACCAACAAACAAATATAAATGACTATCTCTTTTTATAAACACATATTTATTTGTTGCTTAAACAAAAAACTGAAGTTCTCATTTCAGTGTACATATTTCGTTTTCTTAATGAATTTATAAAGAACTTAGTACATCATATGAGTGCTATGTGTTAGCTACCATTGTTTTCATCGATTATTTTGACATTTTTAATGGTTGTAAGTCATTTTACTAATTTTTTTCTGCCTTTCTTTTATCCTTTGTACATTTATTTACATGTGTATACACTGTTTCTGCTACCGCCCCTCCACACACACCCTGCTTCCAGGCAGAACCTGTTCCACCCATTTCTCTGATTTTGTTGAAGAGAAAACATAAGAGATAATAAGAAAGACATATCATTTTTGCTAGTTTGGATAAATATAGCTATACAGAGAGATTCATAGCATTACTTCCATACACTTGTGTACAGACCTCTTCACTACTTCCTGCTCCCCTTCCCATAGTGGCCTCTGCCAATTACTAATTTCTTTTCAATGGAAAAAGAGGTTAATCCTAATTTTTTACTATTATAAAAAGCAAACTGTCTTATTAGATTTTTTTTCTTTTCTTGGCACTACTGGGTTTGAACTCAGGGCCACATATTTGATAGGCAAATGCTTTATCACTTGAGCCACGTCTCTAGCCCCATCGTATGAGATTGTTTATCTCAATTCCTAACAGTAAGATGGTTGGGTCAGTTAGGACATTTTCAAATGTAACATATAATCGCAAACTTCTGTTCAGAAAAACTGAATCAAAAGCCTGCCTCCATTATAAGCTCTGAAGAGAATGGCGGAGGTTCAGGAAGCACTGCCTAGGAGGAGGCATGGCTGAGAGCAATTCAAGTAGAGTCAATGCAAACTCTGGACACCAGCAGAAGATGAAAACAAAGACACACACACAACCCCTTCTTCATAATTAAAATTTACAAATTAATATTAGTAAGGCTTATGGAGATTAAAATTAAATGGTACTCAGATACAGAAAAATTTATTGCTAATTAAGTATTTTTAAGTGTTCTGGGAAAATAGAAAATTGTTTATGTACTCTAATATAGTATAAACATTTAATTACTGTAAAGGAATAGTAACAGAAATTCTGGAACAGAGACATGTAAATAAGACTAAATATATTATTACTATGTGAAAAACTAACAAAAATAGATTTATCAAAACAGTAATAATTCTGATATTCACCCTTTTATCTCCATATATTTTGGTCATATTTCCCTTTTTATACTATTATCAAAATTTTTGAGGGAACGTATGTTTGGCAAAGGCTCTACCATTGAGCCCCAAAAGGTAAATTTGAATTGGAAGGAAAAAAGCAGTAAATCTTCAACCCATCTTTTACTTTTAATTTTATTAGAAATATCTCTCTGGAGAAATTCTTCTATCTTGCTGCCTCTTGTCCTAACTCCTCACTTTCTTTACCAAATTCCAAGTTTATCATTTCAGATTTAAAAAAAACACATATAGTTGCCACAACTCATACCTCAATGATTACAGATGCTATTGGCTGAAAAGGGTTAACTGTAACTGGTCCTGTGTCCAACTCAGCCAGACCACTGGTTTCATCAAGTTCAGCTTGCTCTCGTTCTTTTTGTTCTCTATTGTTTGGGGGAAAAAAATGAAAATCCTTTTGAAAAATTGCTGAACCATACTTAGGAAATCTATTCACAATAAGCTTAAGGCTGTTTAAATTATTCCCAAAAACGAAATGAAATCTAACACTACGGAAAGACAACTCAGAGAAAAATACAAAGCAACTCCTTAGTTCAACCCCAGTTCCCCTACTTGGGAAGGAGAACCCTGTATCGCTAGTATAAGGTAAGCCTGAAAGTGCCAACAACCCCTATAACAGCAACCCAAAATCCTGATTACAGGAGAAACCAGTGGATCTTATAGTTTCTATATCCAGTATGAGGATTTGCTCTAAAAGTGACTTCTCCTGCAAGACAAGCTAGCACTGAATTCCATTATATCGCTCCACAAACTCTCAAGAGTGTTATAACCAAGAACCATTTGAGGAAGTTCCTATTATTAAGTTACCAAACTACACTGTGCATCAGAAAACAGAGCAATCACAATTCAGAGCCCTTGGGGATACCCAGCAGCAGTGTTGGGGTTGGAGACCTCCGTACAAGATAGTCCTGGATGGGGAAATCCAGGCAATAGCAACATGAGGCAGCTGAAGAGTTCCAGAGAGTGGCCAGGGCAAAAACAGTGGGAAATAGAGGCAAAGACAAGGAGGGAAAGAAGTCTGGAGAAGGAAAGAGAGGTTAGAGAGCTGAGGCAAAAGAAAGAAACTATAAAGAACCAGAAAAGAGAAATTTTGGACTCTGGTCACTGGAAGAGTTTCAGATAACTGTCAAGCCTTTAAGGGCAAGTTCTTAGACATCCTAGGCCTAAGAGCTGTAACACACTTAGGGTAAAGAATACCAGCACCAGAGTCCTTTATGAGAGCTGTAACCCTAGAACCACCGAGTCTTGCTATTTGCTGTTTGCTGCCTGCTATTGCTGGAAGCTACGGATTACAATAGCTGCCAAGTGCTGGGCTGCTGATGGTTACATCCCTGAGTGACCACCTCAGTTGTTACTGCTACTTCCTTCATGTTGCTATCACTCTCTTCTTACTTCCACTGCTGTTTTCTCCTCTCTTCATATTATCAGCTTAATACATTCTACTAATGATGAAAATCAAAAGTAGGTTACAGCAGGCATTGTGGCAAATGCCTGTAATTCCAGATACACAGGAGGTGGAGACAGGAGGATCAAGAGTTCAAGGCCAGCCCAGGGAACATTAGGGAGACTGTAAATCAAAAATATAAACAAAAAGGTTGGGGGCATGGTTCAAGTGGTGGAACACTTGTTTAACATAAGTGAGGCCCTAGGTTCAATTCAGAGCACCTCCCCCAAGTCCCAATAAAAAGAAAATACCACTTAAGAGAAACCTTTTATTGGCACTAATTTTGCAACACCATGGAGCAGCACAGAAGGGTGTCTTCTGGTTGACACAGAGTGAACCAAATGCCTATTTATACAGACAGAGAATGGGTATAGCAAGGGTGTCTGCACCAGTAATAGCAGAGTCTCTCATTTGCAGGAGAAACCACACTTGCACCAATCAAAGCAGTGCCTCATGCAAGTGAATAATGGTGTTTGCACTAGTCACATGCTTTCTACCTTGCCACAAAGAGAAGTATTTACCTCTGGTCTGAGTGGATATAACCTCAGAGTCATCTAGAGTTCACCAAGTGTTGTATTACCAGAAAGTCTGAGAAAGCTGTTTGAACCAGTTGTTGCTGGGATGGCCTCCTGAAGACCATAGTTGTGTTTTGACAACAAATAGCTGTAAATGCCATGCAGCTTCTTCAAGGCATCCATGAAGTGTTCAAAGCAGCTTATAGTCCTTTGCTCAAGGCAATTAAGTCACCAGGAAAGGATCTAACAGCTGTCAATTAGGAAGTCAAATTGCCCCAGCCCTGAAAATTTTACCTTATTTAAAGGAAAAATGAACATTGAATGGTAATTACAATACTTATCATTAACATTAATACTAATTTAACAGTACTTAACAATGCTTAACTCCTGCACTAATGCCCAGGAGAGGGTGAAAGGGAGTGGTACCTCTAATCTGTCTCTGTCCCAACCTCTGTGAGAATGAATAAAACAACAGGACAAGGAAACTGTACTTCATTCAGTTCCTGCAGGTCCCTTCTAGCATAGAACTCGGTGGTTTGATTGCTTCCACTACTGTCAAGAGGCATTCTGGAGATACAACACAGCTTGGCCATTTTCCACAAACCTCATATATGTACTGAAGGCTTTGGAGTGAGTGTGTACTTGCCTGGATATTCCATATCTCAAGCTCAGCTTGAGATAAGGTTGTTAACAAGGACTCATGGAGGACTCTGACTTTCCCCCCATCTTCAGGTACACATACAAAGACACCTCCAGGGTAAATACAGGCCTGCTATGGATAATATTACCTCAGGCCTGGTGGGGAAACACATGCAGGCACCAGCCTGCCTGCTGCCCTAAACTGTTAAGTGACAGCAAAGACAAGTTACAACTGGCTTCCACTGTGACCCACCAGTCCCACCATTCTTAGAGGATTCCAATAATGGAGGACTCAGAAAGAAGTGTTTCTAATCCAAATACCATGACTAGGAGGAGCTTTTTACATTTGTTATTGTTGTTGTCATTTTTCTCATTTTTTTCCTATTTTTACCTAATTTTATTTATTAGTTTTTTATTCTTCAACTGGATTTCTCTTTCTTCATCCTCTAATTTTTGTCTTTTCTCATTTTCCTCCTTTTAAAATTTCTTCCTGCTATCTTTATTCATTTTGCTTTTTAAATTTTTTTTTTCATTTTTCTTTTATTATTCATATGTGCATACAAGGTGCTTTTTAAATTTTTAACTTTTCAGTCTATTCCATATTATTTTTTACCTTTGCTATTGTTCTTGGTATTGCAGTTGTTCTTTTTAATTGGCTGTTATTGTTTTTCTAAATCTGGTTTGGTTTTATATTACTGGGGTTTCTTTTCTTCTCACTGAGCAATGCTGGGATTTGAGTCTCACACCTCAAGCATGTTGAGTGGGTGTTTTGCAGTAAGCTACATCCCCAGCCCAGTTGAGAGAAATTGCTTATTACTCCAGTCATGACTTAGGACCACTTGAATCTTGGCTGATAATTCAACTTAATAAATAAAGCACACCCTTCCATCTGACAATATGGCCCCAAATAGGCATCTCTGTGGGGCCTGAAGTCCTGCTTCTGGACATTCACCTCCTTAGCAGCAGTAGAGAGTTATCACACAACATGGCAGACACTACACCTATGAGGAACCTCATTATAATTTATCCTTCCAAACTGCTTATTTCTGACGAGAGGAAGACTAACCACAGAGAGTGCACCCCACATATTCTGCTATGTACAACATACTTTTCTGTACTGCAAGAGGGACCCCACTCTTGTGAGACCTACAAAGTGGTTCCCTCAAACTCTGATACAGTATACATAGTGTCAAAACCCACTAATCACAGCCAAAGAAGCCACAGAGAAACTACCTTATGAAGTCCATTTGGAATTAAGCTCAACAATACAAAACAAAATCAATATCCAAGGGCACTTCATCAAGAGCATGCCCACTAAGAAGACCCTAACATAAAAATGGAAGAGCTATCCATGATAACAGATGTGGAAATTTCAACATACAACCAGAAAAAATATGAAAAAAAGCCACATGATCCCTATAAAAGTTCATATCACTCTCATAACTGATTCCAAAAATAGTGAAACAGATGGAATCTGGACAAAGAATTCAAAAGCATGAGTTTTCAAATGCTCATTGAATTCAAGGAGGATACAAATAAGCAGGTGAATAAATTAAGGAAGACATTGCGAAATATGAAAGAGCAACTCAATAAACAAATAGAAATTCTAGATTAGACTCAAACTTACACATGAAAAGCTCAATAAGTTTAAAAAAAAAAAAAACTCAGTTGAAAGCCTCGCCAGAGGCTAGACTAAAATAACTGTCAGGGGTTGAAGACAAGACTGATGACTGATTACATTCAGGTAAAGAAAAAAAAAAAAAGAATGAATGAACAGAACATACAAGATCTATGAGACATCATTAAAAGATCAAAAAATGTATAGTCAGAATAGAAGGAACATATATACAGACTAAAAGCATACAAAACTTATTCAGTAAAATGGCAGAATTTTGCCAAATCTTAGGAAAGACATCTACATCCATATAATCAGAACCAAAAAAGATCTTCTCCACAAAATATAGACTGTCAAAGGTACAGAACAATGAGAGAATATTTGAAAGAGAGATGTGCCAAACCACTTTAAAGGCAATCCCATCAGAATAACAACAGATTTTTGAGCAGGAGGAGATGGAATTGTGTATTTTAAGCCCTAAAAGAAACTGCCATCCTGGATTACTATACATGGCAAAGTTGTCCTTCAGAATCAAAGGGGAAATAAAGACCTTCAAAGATAAGCATAAACTAAAACACTTCATGACAAGTAAGTCACCTTTATAGAAGATACTTAAAGGAATACCATGCCCAGAAAACAAAGCAAAATAAACACAATCAAGAGAGCCTAGAAAAGAATAAATTATATTAGAAGAGTTAACAAATAAATGAGAATTAAGACTCAGACATGGTTAATTCAGTAAACCATAAAACCTTTACAATGAATAAGGGAGAATGAGAAAAGGAGATTATTTTCAATAACTGGCCAGAAAACCAACAAAATTATAAGAATTAATATATGCTTTTCAATAACAACTTTTGAGTGTAAATGGTCTTAATTCTCCAATGAAAAGGTTCAGACTGGCTGATTAAAGACCAAAACTCAACAAATGTACTACCTATTAGAAATTCACTGTATCAACAAAGACATTGATAGATTAAAAGGAGGAAAATTATATTTCCAGGCAAATGAGATTTAAAGCAAACCTGAATAGCTATTTTTATATCTGACAAAACAGAGTTCAAGACAAAATTGGTTAGAAGAGACAATAATGGCACTACACATTTTAAAAAAGGAACAATCCATTAAGAAGATCTATTATGAATATATATG